TTAAGAGATTTTTCAATAGTTATAGTAACAATTATCAGCATATTTATACACTCGTAAAATTTTGTTTTATCCAATCATTAAATTCATAATTTCTTAATTATTAAGTTGAAAACAAAAATTTATTTTAAAAAAATATTTTTAAATTCTTTTTCATATTTATATATCAATTTTAATAATATGATAGCATTTTATTTATTTTTTAATACATACATTAATACGTATGTATACGTATACCCAATATTTTTTGACATTTAAAGTCACAAAATTTATATAAAATTGATAGTCATATTAAGTTTGTGTTTATTTAATTACAAAGTATTCCCTATTTTTATAAAAATGCGGTTTTAAGATGTTTGGAAATAAATTTTCCGATTTTTGTCCTATATTGTAAAAAAAGCTATTCATAAAGTAAAAAAATAATATAATACACAGCTGTGTCACGCTTTTTCTGCAACTATAAAAAAAAGATGATTCTCTTGTTATCTGGGTCGTTTCGCAAATTGGAATGACATCAATTCGTGTACAATCTCTCTCGTCACATATTCTTTATCTTCTCTATAAATTTCCGAATGCTTTGCTTTTTCTCGATTTTACTCAACGCAAGAGTTGTTTTATATTAAGATGGGTTGGGAAAAATCGTCTTAATTAATAAAATATAATGGATGGAATATTATTATATATTAATTATTACTATTAATATTATCAGCATATCTATTAAAAGTATTCATCGATATATTTTTAGAAATATTACATGAAATTATCATTCTTTTTATTAGTTTTACAAATTATTTTTTTTTTATTACGTTTTAGTATACATTATTTTGATTAAAACATGTATTAATTATTAATTATTAATTATAGTTTGCAAGAATATAAAATAAGACTTCAATATCCAATGCAATGCGTGATAGATTTTTTGGAAATATTGCGTGTTTATTCAAATTATTTTCCTGGACGAAAAAAGAAAAAGTAATGATTCTATTTTTGTCTTACTATTCTTATTATTTATTAAATATTATTGTTATGAGTCTCGGCGAAGATTAAGACGGTAATAACTAAGGCAGAGTGAAACGCAGATTTTGGAGAAATCTTGCATGTTTTCCCGGGTTATTTCACCGACAAGGGAAGAGAAAGGGATACGGAAAGGAAGAGATGAACTGCTCTTTCGCAGGCCCTTACATATTACATAGCTACGTGACTAAATTTATCGACGATGACCAGAGTAGGTAGTAAATACGTACTCAGACAGTCCATTTGTGACGGACATTCCATTTTCAAGAAACTTATCTCGGAACCGAAAATCAAATTCCATTTAAATAAATGATTAAGCAATTAATTAAAATATCTACAACTTTAGAGATTCTACAAAAATTAATGTTAGAATCAATAAATAATTTTTACTATTATATGAATATTATATGAATTTTTTATTTAATTCGTTTTCGATTTTCCTTTTACGCGAAATTTTTTTTTTATATGTGATATAGCCACAATTAATAATTTTAATTTTTAATTTGGGTTGATTTAACTTCTCTAATTGAATTTTCAAGGAGCTTCTTACATATGTGTGGAAATGGCTTTTTGAGAGCCGAAAGTCCATTTTACAGAAATTATCATTTAAAGCAACGTTAAGTATTTCTTATGTAAAAATTAACGCGTAGTGCTCTATTAATAATTCTATTAATTATAATGAAAAATCTTAATTTTAAATCTTTTATTAATTAAATATAAATGAAGAATCTTTTTTATCCGTTAAATTATTAACATAATATTAAGACTCAAATATACATACCTATATGATGAATCTCGCGAAAAATCGTCTTTTATGAATATCTGTTTTTTTAATTATATTTACTCTCCTCTTTCTCTCTCTTTGTAATATTTTCTTTCAATTTCCATAGAAAATTTGAGAAATAAGATGGTGCTTCATATTGTAATGCGGTTTTTAATATTAAATTATTTTCTCTGTTGCTGTGACACAGAATAAAATTTTTGATAGTCGATAAACACAATATTCGCGACGAACGAATCCGTTCGACTAGCATTACTGTTTATATATAGGTTGAAATTACATAAAGTCGGATTGAAACGCCGCTACAAATGAGTGACTTTGCTATCTCACGTTACGAGAGTATTATTACAAGAGTATCTCAGATTTACACGACTTAGCTTGCATTAAAAGACAAAAAATGCGCAAGATACTTATTAAGAATAATTTAGATATCGAAACTTTGAACTCTCTCTCTTTCTCTCTCTTATATTAATATTAATTTCTTCTTTTTATATGGAATCTTAGACCAACCGCGTCATCGCGTCCAATTTAAAATTCTTGGGTGAATCCGTAGCCAATTTCTTGGCGAAGATTAAGAATTATCATTCGTCACAATTTTTTTATTGATCATGATGAAATTGTAAGTTAACTTGAAAATTAAGTTTTAATTTAAGTAACAAGATAAATTATATTAGGTATTTTGTAAAATTTAAGAGATTTAAAAATCTTATTTTGAAAAATTGTGGATTGTAATTCGTTAACGATTATCATTCCTCTTTTAAAATGAAGATTTTACATTATGAATAAAATACTTTTGAAATCAAATATGATAAAAAATTATTAAAAAGAGTAATTTTTCCTTAAATTTTATAGTTTCTAATTTAAAATGATTAAATTATTGACAATTCTGGTGTATCATATCTGAAATAATTAAAGAATAGAAACAGTTATGATTTAACATAAAATCTTTTACATTATAATTTTTCATTGATGAATTAATTATAATTAAAAAAATAGGTACCTTTTTTTAGGAAGATGAAAGAAGTTTGTGAAGTTTAATTTAATTGAAGAAAACATATCTAATATAGAAAGAATTATAATCAAATTATAAAATTATGAGTTTTTTCTATCTGCGTTTCCCGCGATTAGAGAATAGATTCTTAAAACTCTCTATATTTTATCACCTGCCGAGAGTAAATTCTGGCAACGAGAGATTGAGAAAACTTGACGTATTTAAAAAGAAAACACGCCGAGCATTATGTTATATTCTTAATTTTTTTTTTTTTTTAACATTTTATTCTTATTTTTTCGACATGATTCGCTGTACCCGTCAAGAATTAATCTCAGAATTAATGGAAAGTTAATCTCAAAATTACCTTTTTCGATATCAATTATTATTAATAATAACTAAATAGTGTATTCTATATTAAATTATATTGAGAAATAATTAATAAATTTCTGTTCTTCAAAAATTAGAAATTAGATTATAAGATTATTATTTATATTTGAAAATATAATATATGCTAAATATAGCTCTAATGTATAATTAATAATAATTAATACCGAAGAGATTAACGAGAAAAAAGCTCGCTACTTGTTTTTCACACAGAAGCTACCATTATCGCATTTTTGTGACAAAGAGAAAAAAGAATTTTTAAAATAAGAATGTGGCCTATAAGTCCATAGTTTGTGGGGTTTACTCTATTGATGCGACATTTCGTCTTTAAAACGAGCTTCATAAAACACGGACTTGTTTTACTCTTTATATATATATTAATAATGGAATAATAATGATAACAATATGATAATGATCGCGTCAATGTATGTTACGCCAATAGTGACAATGATAGCGTTAAATCTTCCGCTTTCGCATTCGCAGATGCTGTGAAATTGACTTATATCTGTTGTCCCTTAAATTAGGGATCCGGAAATCGACATAATTTCCGTGAATCTGGTCAAAGGCTTTGTAATAAAAACCTTCGTCAAATAATTCATTTTTTTTTCTTTCTGAAAAAAATAGATGTAATTAATGTATTTACATATAGTCCGTAATCTTTATAAAAAAAAAACCTTTTTCTTTTTTTTTCTATTGTCCTAATCCAATCTATGTACAGAATATGGAGGGATTAATCATGATACAATCGGAAAAAAGAGGTAATACTTTATGCAAAGATAAATCATAATAGAAATGAGTCGAAAAATTAATAATAATACTTTTTCATAAAACTTCATATTTAAAAATTTACTTTGAAAATTTAAAAATCGATGTTCAACGGAATTATACCGATTTCTAGATCCGGTTAGGGTTTTTTCGATTTTTTCTCACTAATTTTTATCACGTGGCTTTTAATTGCGCAATAATTAATTCATCATTAGAAGGAAAGAGAACGCGATGTTGGTGCTATATATATGCAAAAAGACTAGACACTACGTTGTTGTTGTTGTTATCAGAATTAATTAATAAGAAACAAAGACTATCATTATTATATTGAATAAACAAAGAAGAGCGTTTCCAAAGAAACGTCTCTAGCGATATCTTTTGTACTTTTTTGATTAAAGATTTGTTACAATCGCTCATTCGTTCATTAGATTGTGATGTGAAATGTATGAATGAGTGAGTGAATGCGTGTATCGGGTGTTCGATAATAATCTTAACGCTTAAACATACGTGCTACTTTTGTCTCTCTTTAATTTTTTCCTCAACGCTTTTTATAAAAGTTCGCATAGTGTTACCTATAATATTTAACACAATTGTGAACCACACTTATGCGGAGAATTTAATATATCGTCATCATCATTATTATCATTATTAAATAATAATATATTATATTCTTCGCATAAAAATAAAACTACATCTTTTTCTTCACAGAGCACAAAGCACAAATTTTGAAGTCCATTACTTATTATTTTCTTATCAACATACCATTGGAGATAAACGCTCTGGATAATCGCGCGATCTTGATCATTAAAAAAGAGGACAGATCGTTGTTCGTGTGTGTTAAGCTGCTTGAACTATTTAACGCAATTCCGCGAATTATAATAACAAATTAAAATGATTATACACAGAATTTGTTGACTTTTCTAAATTACTATCTTCGAAGATCTTATCTCGAGTGTATCGGAATTCGCGTGATTGTACAGGGTGTCCCGTATCGATCCTCAGTAATATATTTTTTGACTAAAAAAAGTTATACTGAAGAAATACTTATATTTAATTCAATATTTAGTTAATTCAAAATTTATGCTTAAGTATTTTTATTGCAGAAAAATCTACTCCAAAAGTAAGAAGATTGAGATTTTATCAACTAGCTGCATCTATCTAATCTAATTCACGAAAATCTCATTATCTCCAATTCAAAATTTAAGACATGTATTAATATAATTTTGAAATGATTATTATATAATATTCAAAAGTTAATGACTCAAAAATTTCTCGTGCCTAAATAGTTTTTTTTTTTTAGTAAGAAAAAAGAAATTAAAAAATCAACACCCTGTATTATTTTATTCGTTATTATGCAGTGGAACTCCTCTATTCTGTCTCCCGCTATTCTGAATTAGCTATACTTCAGTAAACTGGAATTCGTGCGCTGTTCTTCTACTACATTTGTCACATGATTACGTAACTATATGTAAAATGAGAAAACAAATGAAAAAGAAAGAATGCAACACATTCACTTTGCATGTGTGCCATCAGAATAAAATGGGAATTAAGAAGCAGTTCCAGAGTAACGGGAAAGCTTAATCTAACTGATATTTTAAAATAGAGGAATTCGATTATAATGGAACACGCGTCAAAAAATCGTTCGAAAATTTATTCATCCGAATGTTTTCGCAAAATTCTGCAATTTCGTGAGAAAGTTTTAAATTTTTTCTCTCGTTCGAGATTACATTTTTACAAACTATCTGTGAAAAAATGTTATTTTCAATAGCCTAACAATTAAATTTCTATTATGCAAAACGGCTCGATAATGTATAACAAACGATAATGTTTTCCACTTTCGCTCACTGTCACTGGCAATGGATTATACAACACTTATACATATAATGTATTGTTTAAAGACTTTTATGCTAATATATAACATATTCAACATTTTTTTCTTTCACCTCAAGAAATTAAATCTGTAATTTCTTTTAACATTCCATTCTGGTAAAATAATTATTGCATTAATTTTCTTGAGTAGTGTTATTTAAGCATATATAGAAAAAAAAATAATTTTAGATAAAAAGAATTTCAACAAAAAAAGTTTTTCCACATTTGCATTATTTTATTACTTTATAATTGAAAATGTGTGGCAAGTTTATGGTAATTTAATTATAAATGGATTTTTGAATAATGTATGGCAATAGTTCAATAATTAATTAATTATTTTAATTCCATATTAATTCAAATTTATTACAATTATATCAATAATTAATTAATTCTTGAATAATTAAGTATTGGTTTTAAGCATATTCAGGATAGTTCATAAATCTGGATTCAAATTTCACATAATTTTACTCGTACGGCGACTAATAGCGATATAATAGAGCTTTCAACTTTTTTAAATAGTACATTGCCAGTGAATATGTATGGACGTAGTAGTTTTTCTGTATCAAGTTATCCATAAAGTACAGAATTCACGTGTATTATAGTTTACATTTTATATAATTCTAGCTATTTCATAATTTTCAGCCGAGAGTAAACTTGTGAGAACGGAGATGCTTCTCATGTCAGTCGCAATACTTCTCTCTTAGGATTACCATACTATTCATCTTCGGTATCACCATCACTGCTATAATCTTGCAGAGTGGGTGGCCTTGAGAAGGGTGCTTCGTTGGTTTGACTGCAATATTAGAAAAGAAAAAGATATTAAGACACGCCAAGATATAATCTCTATCTCTTTCTCTTTTAAATTTTCACTACTTGATCTCCAAGCATCAAAAGTTGTTAATCATTTTATAAATTCTAGTATTAATCTGATTTTTTTAGAAAATAAAAACAACCAAAAAAGATATTTTTTAATTATATGATTATATTANTATATACATACATATTTAAATTATAATTATTAAGAATATTCTTTAATTGTAGTTTTAGATTTTTCACTTCTTTCCTAATTTATTTTATCTTTTTTAAAATTATTGTACTTTTAAATTTTTCTATATTATAATTATGATTTTCAAGGAATTAACAGGACTAGATATCACTCACGCTAATCTACGATAATGATTCAACCATTCCTCCAACATCTGCGCAACAAGTAATGGTCTTTTGTGAAGCTTTTGGTGCGCGACGAGAATTCCACCTTCGGTCCTGCACACGTCCAACCACTCCTTGTAGATGGATTCCTCGCGGCCAATCTCGTCCGCCGTGAGAAAGTGTATCGGTAAGAGTTTATGCTCGCGATCCATTAGCGGCATGAAGGTGGTTTGCATCTGGATCTGCAGTTGTTCGAGCGAGCTGTTATTACTACTTACTACCCCATGGGACGCTAGGGGCGGTATTCTGGACGAGGTGTATGGCTCAATTGGTACTAATGCCGTGAAGTGGCCGCGAGTGTAACCTAAAGCGATCGGCGAACGGATGCAGAATGAAGGTTCCCAGAGCAACGGAAGATAGACGCCCTCAAATCTCGCATAGCCTGCGAAAATGACGGAAATCATCGATCTTATATCTTAAAATCCATACATTTCGATAGCTTTAATCGATTAAAAATTTTGGATTATAATCTTCAAAATCTTTGTGTGTATATAAAGTCTGTAAAATTTTTAGTTTTTAAAAAAGGAAAAACGTAAATTTTATAAAACTTTTTATTTAGGTTAGGTTAGGTTAGATTTTTACATGAACTTGAGAAAATAATTGTTAATTTAAGTTTAATTATAATTATAAATATTTTTAATAAAAAACTGAAAAACTCCATCGAAGATTTAAAATTTAAAGAAATTATATACATATAAATTCTCTCAATAAAAAATTAAAAATTTAATGATTTAGATTTTTAGGATTTTAATTTAATAAAATTATTTTAATTTGTTAAGAATATACTTGGAAATTAATTATTAATTATTAGCAAACGAAAGCAAAGTACTTTTTTTTTAATTTACCTATATCTTCTCCACGAAAGCTCTTAACATATTTAACTCCATAGACAATAATGGGTCGTCTTAAAATATGAGCAAGAGCAAATACATGCAGTTGTTCTAACGCACTTCCAGGTTGAGCGGCCGTTGCCAACAAATTTTCCCAGTCTTCTTGCCATTGTGTCTCTTCTAAAGTAAAATCTAACATTCTAGCTGCCTGCGAGGCTTCGTATTCTCTCCAACGAGGATAAAAGCTGAAATAATGTTATATATTTGAATATACTCGTACATTTGAAAAAGCCATTTTATCGGTTTGCATATTATTCAAGCATTATTATTATTACGTAGTACTTATGTAGTACCTTAGATTCCACTACATATAGATATATATTTGTATCAAGTTATTAATTAAACTAATTATATTACATTATATTATATTAATTATTAAACGCTTACAATTGTCCGGCTTGTTGCAGGGTGTCAGCGAGCGCCCTTCTCAGGGCGTTGTCCCTATCGAAAACACCCCAGGTTGCCTGCATGGCGGAGTCTAGGAGGCAGTCTCCGGCCGATCGATTCCAGAGTGCGTGTAAACGACTGCCTAATCGTTCAGTAATTTCTAAGGACCAATTTAGGGCTGGTGGTTCACCTCCACCACCTTCTAATTGCTGTTGAGCTTCCTTATCTAACAATTCCTCCAGCATCTGCTCTTGCACGATACTCGGTAAGTCTTCAACCTTGAAAAATATCCAGCAATCTCATATGTAAAAAAATAATATTAATATATTTGTCTTTAATAAGTGAACGTCGAACGAATACTGAACATTCAGAAAAGTTTAAAGGAAAATTATTAAAGGATGCAAAAGGTAGAAATTTGAAAAATGGAAGGAAAGAAACTTAAAATATAGAAAAATTTAAAGAAATTTAAGAAAAGACTAAAGGATAAAAATTAGATACTTACAAAAGTTTAAAAAGAAATACTGTTTATTAATAAAAATTATATTGACTTTGTTATTTTGGTATTTATTAGAAACATTAACTATTAATGAATTAAACTTACTTTTCGACTAAAATTTATATTAATTTGTTATATATATTAATTTGTTATATATTATAATAACCTCGGCTGGCAGCGCGAAGGTGGCCATATCGGTGACAAAATAACAGGGGAAGGAACCTTTGCGTAAGCGTATACTATTGGTGACATGTCGGCGAATCTGCACCGCAAGATCTGGTGCGACGTAGCTCGGTACCCTTTTCACGCCCGAACCCGAACCCTCGATTTGCGACAACAATGTTGCTAAAATATCTTCTCTTTGAAACCTTAAAATTATACCAATTAAATTATAAAAATATTTAATCAAAGGTTTCTATATATTTGCAGAGTATCGATGACCTACTCAAAGCATTATCTTTATCAAAAATATCTCAAATGTGACTTGCATAATAAAAGTTTCATTTATAATATTAATATTTTTAATTACATTCCACTATAGTAAAATTACACTTTACACATTACACTATAATAAAATAATTTATTATAAAAATACATTTTAAGAGAAAAGAAAGAAAAATATAAGCTCTTATGAACAGAAACCATTTAATTTTCTTTCTTTCTTGACTTAATAAAATTGTCTCTAGTACGTTTATATATTTCTCTTCTAATTTTTGTTATTTAATTCTTCATTGATGTATTCAAATTTTTTTCATTTCCAAACCGCAGAGCGTATCTCTATATTTTTGAAATTTTATTCAATCTATTAATATCATGAGTTTTATTTTATCAATATTGATATTATATATTAATTTATTAAAATATTTGATCTTTCTATTTACCTAATAGCCAAATGCACTAAGGTGTGCCCGACGTCAAACGCGCTGCTTCTATTGAGGAGCAAGACCTCAGAATGCGTCAATTGGCGAGCAGGATCGCCACCGCTTGCCAGGTAAGCTTCGACGGGAGTATTGTCACCCTCGACAATACCGAGACAAGCATTGAGCCAACACCAATCGGTGTGACGTCTCAGTTGCTTCAATCGGCGCTCGTAATCACAGTTATTCGGGGATTGAGGGGTTGACAGACTGTCATTTCGACTATCCGCATACCTATGTGAACCTCTGAAAAGTTTTACATTATTATAAATATGTGTTATAATACATATCTTTAGAAAAAAATTATATCATATTTTCACAGAATATATCATGAATATTTAGTGAATTATGCGAACCTAAACATAGATTCATAGAAATGTAATATATAATTATAATGTAATATATATGTAATTAATTCTCGAAATAGAATATCAATCAAAAATGTCAACATTATTTTGATTAATCCTTAAGTATTTTCTCTTGATATTATGTCTTTTTTTGTGAATATTATATATTTAATATGTATTACATGTTATGTTGTATGTATTTATATCTATATATACAAGAAATATATAACATTGTGGATACTATAATAGGAAAAATTTATATCATATTCCCCAAACTATATAATATTCACAAAGAACACAAAATGTAAAACAATTTATTTACTTCCTTCCTATCGCTAAATTATCCTCCCTCTGCGTTTGATGAATATAGGATGCGTGCAGCGGGGGTGACGGCAGGCTTCGTTGACTATGTTCCCTTTCGGGACTCGGTAAGATCACTCCCACATTTCCTTGTGTACCCTTATCCCTCCTATCCTTCTCCTTTGGATGACCACACATGATGCATTTAGTCGCTTTGGGCCAGTTCTCATAAGTACACACATGGCAGGACCACTTTTCTGGATGCATATTATACAACTTTTCTGGATGGAGATTGATTGGCGAAGGATTCAACTGGGAATTTGATCCCGAGTTTGGTGGCCCGTCGGCCAATCGTAGTGGCGCTAAATGTTCATGCAGATTCGAGGCTAACGAATTGACGGATTGATTGACTGGCTTGCGATTGCTGCACTGAACGCAACGCGTTGTATTCTGATAGTTGAGATAAGTGCACATGCTACAGGCCCATTTTCCCGCAGAAGGTAAATTCTGACTATAATTTTGCGAGATATAGTTGTCCGTAGGGCTTATCTGGGACACAGGACCGGAAGCAACATTGGAGGAACCTCTTTGAGGGCTAGGATCCCGAAGACGGTAGATGTCTTCACCTAGAAGAGGTTTAGCGCCCCTGCACATAGTGCATTTTAAAGAAGAGGGCCAGTTTTCGTAAGTGCAGTACTCGCAGATCCATTTCTGCTCTGTTTCCTCGAGTCTACTGGTCATCTTCACTGGATGAAGGTTAATCAATGAAGTTTTTGGTCTTTCTGCTGCGAAGGATACAGTATTTCTTGATGCAGAAGAAAATATTAAGATGAAAGATGTGCACTGAATAATAAATATCCTAAATATTCTGATTAAATTTCCTACACTTTGCCATACATGATCTATTGGGAAATTTGTATCTAAGTATTTGGTTTCTATATATGGTCCAATTTATGCTACGTGATCAGCATTATGTTTGATTGTGGTAAGATAAAGCTGCTAGAGATGTGCCAATGTAGACATCGGTGGAAGAATCTAAAAAGAAAAATAACAAAATTTACACACACAGACACACACACACATACATATATAAAGTCTATTATAAAAGTTTTACATATTTATAAAAAAAATCCTGAACAAGATGAAAAAATGAAGATTGTTCTAAATTAGATATATATCTTGCATATAATATGCAGTATCTTTAGAACTTTTTTTCAATTATCCAAAATTTTTTCTCAATTATTCAGAATGTCTTTCAAATTACTTGAAAAAATCTATTTACTTATTTATTCTGTTCAGAGAAAAATTGTTATACTATATATATATATAAGCAAAATACAAAAGTAACAATTTTGTTAATTTCAGCTTTTGTTAAAAACTTTTTGTGTATAAAGTTAAGAAGATTTTTTAATGTGGAAGAGGAAAAAAAATAAAGTGTAGGAAATGAAAAAAATATAATTAACAAAACATAACATGTGTGTGAACTAATATTTATATTAAATATCCATTGTGCAAGATAACGCAACATTATATTTGATTTAGTTGTACTTTCTACTCTTTTTTTTTTTTTGCTTTACATCTTTAAAGTAGATGATGTTGATTCAGCTTTCATATGAATTCATATTATTTCATACGAATATTAATATTTAAAATAGCTTTATTTTTTAGACACACTTTGTCGCAGTATATAAATACTTTAGGTTTGTATAATTATAATGCTTTTTTAAATTTTTCTTTTTGCACACATTTTGCACACATGGTCTTTTTATGTCGCGTACGAATATAATATTTGTACGACCATGTACATACTTGTTTCTTAATTTCTTCATTTGCTTCAAAGACAAATCTGTAGATCAGTATTTCGAATATTCAAATTCGAAATGCCTTAGATCTACTCTTTTTCAGTTATATTCGGTTAAGTCGGAGAACACGCGACACCGCGTGACTCCCTAGACCCTTTATCTCTGCTCATCGAAGCTTCTCGTCAGTAAACCTAACCTATCGGAGAACGAGAAACTTCCATCTATAGTCGCGAACAGTACAAAGAAAAATGACGAATTTTAAAATTAAAATTGTATTATTTTCAGATATTAAAGAGGCGCGCTACCTCGTCGGATCGGTAACCTTGATGTTATCCTGAACCACCTTGGAGCTCTCGCGCGCCGAGAACTATCGTCACACTGGACTATCCTCCATTGAGAGATCTTTTAAATTGGCACTATCCAATCGACTCGTGTATCATTCGTATACCAACGAATGATGCTTTTGGACACACCACTTCGCATTCGGAACGTAGGTAGGTTAGAGAACCTGTACGCGCACACGTACGTGCACGCACACGTCGATTTCACGCGACAGACGAGAAAAATGAAATATCGGGAATCGCGCGCAGAGCGTGATTCGCTCTCTCTCTCTCTTTCCTACACCACTTCGCGTAGGTAGGTTAGAGAACCTGTACGCGCACACGTACGTGCACGCACACGTCGATTTCACGCGACAGACGAGAAAAATGAGAAAAATGAAATCGCGCGCAGAGCGTGATTCGCTCTCTCTCTCTCTTTCCC